AATGAGGACAATAATGAACATAAATTAAATTTAGACTCTAAAAGGGGTTCCTAGCCAAGGGAATGAAGTTAGGACAGCCTCCTAGGTGTAACATACCAGTTGATTTCAAGACTGACTGATACGCATGACTTTATACAAACTGCCTGCCTGCAAGAGGAGTAATCTGAATGCAGGGAAGCAAGACAAACCTGGCCCTGCATTCCTCCGTGCAGAGGCTTCCACAAGCTTGGCACACAACCCATGCTTCTTATTATCCACACAGGTCCTTTATTTGTTAACCCTTGTTTTTGCCTCCCTCTGAGTTCCACCTGAGATCAGCTGAAACAGACTTCCAGCAATCTCAGTAAAAAAAATTACCGATATCATAGCAGGTTTGGTTTAAAAAAAAGCACAAATGAATCTTGCTTCTTGCCCATTCTCTGATTCCTATCACCAGATGTCATTCATTCACAGCAAGGAATATTAGCAAAAAAAGTCAGGACGGTAGCCTATGAAGGGGAACCTTATTTCACACATCAGAGCTTGTAAGACAACTTGAATCAATTATCTCCCAGTTGTTTTTAGCTTAAAAAGAAGGAAGGAACAAGACATCTTAATTACTGTTTGTCCTTTCATAACATCAGTCTCGTCACCATTGGGAGGAGATAGTTACACAGAATGTGCTTCTAAACAGTTGCAATTCAGGTATTTCAGGATACTTCTGTAGTCATTCCTGAAATTAAAACTCAAGGAATGCAAAAGCAAGTGAACGTTTCAATTCTTCAGCCCCTGGGCTTTGCAGTTGTGATTGGTGATCTAAAACACATATCATGCTATTCATTAGCTAAACTGTTATCAATATGCCTTGTTCAATCAGCCCTTCCATCTTCTACCGTTATTTCAATTCAGATCAAGTTCCAGGCAGGAGCCGAATTCTTGGGGAAAAGTTTGTATTCGAACAACCAGAAAGCAAGCAAGCAAAAAACAGAGCTCGCACAATACTGCAGCGCCCCAGAAACGTATCAGCTACAGCCCTTGGCTGCACTGCTGGCATTTTACCTGATTTCCAACTGATATTTAGCAGACTCGAATTTCAACATCCAAAAACCAAACAGAAGTCTAACACTGCAGCTAGAGTCAGGTACAGAAAGTGTTTAAGTGCTGGTATGAAGCCTCAAGCTCTAATTTCTTAGAACAATGCTTTCATCAACACAAACCCTTAATTCATGTGCCGGTCACATACCACTTGTAAGATCTCCTGCGCTGTGTGGGCATCACCATTTACATTTCTATATTAGCAGTTAAAGAAAGTCAAGAGCCTGGCTGCCTCCTCCAGCACATGCACAGTCGCGTGTCCCCCGAGCACCACACCAGCATGGCCCCCCTGTCCCCCCGTCCCTCTGACCCTACCATGGGTCCCCTGCTCGCTGGCCGGTCCAGCTCAGCACTCGCTGCAAACACGCAGCACTCGCACGCTCGTCCCACGGGCACCCCACGCTTGTAGGTCCCCCCCAAAACCACCACCAACCCTCCGCCTGGCTGACACCCCTGCCCAGACCTGGGGACTCCTACTCACCCACTGGCCCAGCTTCACGTTTGCTGGTGGATACACACGCACACCCCACGCACGCCCGGTCTGGGGGGACACAGACCCTTGCCCCCCCCCAGCAGCTGGCACCATCCCACCGACCCCTTCCAAGACCCTGGACCCTCGTGTTTCCCAGCCTCACCAGTTGCAAAGTCCCAGTTTGCTGCAGTTACTCAAGAGCCCATCCACTACTGCCACTGACCAGGTTGGTTTGTTGTCTTTGTCTGTTAGGTTTGCATCCCTTTTCCCCCCACCCCGACTTCCCCCCTTTTCCTTAGTATCCCATTTGACAAGGTCCTCGATCAGATAACCTTACCAAAACAAACATTACCACATTCCACACACCCTTATCAATTAATGTGACCGATCAGGTCTGGTTCTCATTACTGCCTCTCTTACAATCTGTCAGTCAGGTTTGTGTCATTGTATGTTCTTGTTCATGTTGTCCCTCTTATTAACCCCTCCTGTAGCTAAAAGGTTCTTGACCAGAAATGGTTCAAGGAGCAGCAGCTCTCTCCTTCCACATAACCTCACAACCATTTCCACCTTTTCTTGAAATTCACTAAAAGTGTCCTTATTCCTTTACCTGTCTAAAGAGCAGCAAAGGGACAACTTGGCACTGGAATAAAATGGACACTTCTGCCTTGGTCAGTAACTGCTTTAGCAAACAAATCGCTCTAGTTAATGCATTAAGGGTCATGGATAGTGAGCAGACAGTTTTAATTAGCAGCCATATCTCTCAAGTCACTGGAAGTTTCTAACAACACTCAACTGTCCACCTACCCAACCCTTTGACAGGTGAGCCTCAGGCTTTAGTTAAGGAGCAATAACTTGGGGTTTACATACAGCATGTGCCACCATTGCCTTCATGTATATTAAGAAAAATCTGCAGCACACTGTCAACTTGTCTAGATATACTGGACATTTTTGCATAGAGAAAGGCTTCAAGATATGTCTTCCCACTGCTGCTTGGATTTATCCCCACGTGCTTGCTACTGAAGCAAGGCTGAAGGCATAAATACTGCTACACGACAGACAACACCAGTGCTTGGGAAATGCGTACCTTTTTCTAAGGGCATACCCAACTTTTATGTGTACTTACTCATTCTGCATATTTCAGATTTTGTTTTTAGTGCTTAACTTTAGCACCCAGTGCTGATAAAGGTGTCACTCTGAACTCCTTGTAGACTGTAAGGGTTACAAATGCCTTCTCCGTTCACAACAGTTCAAAGGTGCTATTGTTCTTAACACAATGATCTGATGATCACTTAACACAAGAGCATCAGAAAGTACATACATTTGTTAAACATCACTGAGGCATAGTAATGAGATACAGTAATGTTTTATATGGGATCATAGTTTAAATCCTAGCACTGTTGACTTCACATTTATTGAAGACAGTCCTATTTTGTACAACACTGAGCATATAGTGTAACTCTGAGAACCACAGCTGTGACTTAGTTAATGATCTCAATAAATCCTACTTAAGCAGAGACAAGAAGAGAATTATGCAAATGACTATTTCTGTACCACATGTACTTGATAACTGAAGACATACTAAAATAAGCTTCAGCATACAAACACCAATACTTTTTTAACCCACATAGATCAAAAATACACAAAAGGTAGAGCAGCTTATGGAACTTTATTTCAGAAGAGTTGCAGTTGCAGAACATTTACTACAAACTTGATATTAAAGGAAACATACAGAAAGGACATGTACAAAGAGGGGTGATTAAAAACCCAAGAAAGATGACAGATTTTTCAAATACAGCTGTGAATGTGACAAAGAATTACTCTTCTGAACAGACCTTTCTAAAACACTATGATTAAAGGCCTAAGTAGAACACTGCTGTTTCCTCAGCACGTGCATCAGCCAGTCACACTTGGCAGCTAGATAAAATGTCTTCTATCAGTCTCTTGTAGAGCCAGGTATCACCTTTAAGCCGTTGTCGCCGGATACCCACTTCTTCAGATTTACTGAGTCGACACACTTCTAACTCAAATGCCACAGTTACTTTGCCAAAATTTGACTGTGTTTGACATTTCAGGGTATAACTGTACAAAACAAAGGAAAAACAGAATAACCACCAAACTGTTTGTTTGTGTTGCAATGCAATTTTGAATTGATAAAAGGACCTTACAGAAATTACCCCATTGCTATTCAGAATACTGGGAAACAGCCCAGGAATTTAGTGAACTGAGAGCTTTGAATACTTTGGTCCCAGAAGACTATCGTTGTGCTCAAGTACCAACATGTAGCACCAACATCCTACCCAGCTATAGGAACCACTGCTAGCCACAGACCCCCATTCTCAGAGTACAGAGCTGGAAGGATGGAGATGTTCCCGTGTTTTTCCTAGACAAGACCACTCTCCTTTCTGCAGAGACACCACTGCTGCGAGGCTGGTTACAGCTCAGCTGGTGTGAAAAGTGGAAAAACTGAATGGGAAGTTTAAATCATTACAATGGGAGAAGGTGTTTCCATACAATTCAGTATCTTTCCAGATTTTGAGCTTGGAAATGCATCAGAGGTTGAAATACACTCTGACATTCTACAATGCCTATATTTAAATATTCAATAACTTTAGAAAACACATATTCATAAGTAAGCACAACATTTCTTTCATTCATTGGGAAGTCAGGAAACAGATATTAAGCTTTGATCAGAACTAGGAACCAATCCTACTTTCAGTACCTTAGTCTACTTAGTAAATCCTACAAATTAAAATACAAATCCTACAAATTAAAATAATCGACACAAAGGTGTGTGGATTCTGTGCAGCTTTTAAAATATACTTGTCTGTTGGCTAAATGCTAATGTCTTTTAACTGCCAAGACTGAGGGTTAAAAGGCATCTACATTATCTCCCCAAATTGTCCGATTTGGTCATGTCACTGTACCCTAATAGACCATTCGTATTTGCAATTTCACAAGACAGAAAAAATTCACATCAGCCTCTAATTGCTCTCTCACTATTATTGGTTCACATCTGTCAAAGAATTCTATCAGAGCTCACTTAACATTGCTTTGCATTGTGTGGACAAGTTTCATTCCACAAGTTCATTCAGTGCTCTCTACACTTTCTATAAATTCTTGTATTTAACAATGTGCAGCTGAGAAAGTAAGTTTACATACTTCGCTTTGTCAAGGATTGCAGTACTGAGTATTTAGACAAATACAGTTGAAGGCATCGTATTTTACACTTACCCCTTCTGAACATATTCCACATGCTTCTTTGAAAGAACAGCAATTACTTCATTCAACAGTTCATCTGGATTCAGTCGCTGAATGGTGGTAACATTACAGTGTGCCTAAAAGTAGTCAGCTCATTAAACAAAAAACAAACAAAAATATCTGTCTCCTAAAACTGAAGACATTATGAAAAGTTTTCATAAAGAAAGCTTTGGAACACCTTTGCTTCAGAACATAGTGAAAAATGCTTCAACTTCACAATATTATCATAATTAAGACATTGTAGTAGCAACAGGAACACTAAACAACAACTGCTGGACCATTAATATCAAAGCACATCCCATCTACAACCCATCATAAAATGCAAAGTAGCAGTGATGGGCCAGGGCAGCACAGAGGCTATCAGAAACCTTGTACATAGCCAGAGGTGATTCCTGCAGAGGTGTGCAGAAGATAGCCACACGACTCTGCTTAGAGCACCCTGCTGCACACTCCACGGTTGGGACATCACCGATAGTGTGTTGCCTAGCTGAGACTGAGCACTTCCGATATCAAGGAACAGGCACAAGGCCATGCAGCTTTTCTAGGACTAAAGCGTCACCATGTTTAAAGAAAAAAGGTAACTTACTACTCATAAGGTCACTGTTACAGGGGTCTTATATCTAATACTTCATATAATGAACTTGTCCAATAAGTGACTTCTTGAACAACTTTCAGACACCCATATGTAATGAAAGTGTATGCCAACTGTAATACACCACAAACACTCTATCTAGCTTCTTAAGTCATAGAAGCAGAGAGAAGACAAGATCATAAAACAGCATGAGAAATGAACACAGGCTGAGGATGCAAAGCCTGAGTACAAGACTGGTTCTTACAGCTCTTATTCAGCTGAGAACATATGCAACTCCCTACCATAACTGCTGTACCAGTGTGAGGTACAGTTCTATCTTCCCCTATTATACTCCAGTGTCCCTAGACATGCATCAGTAACTTTGCATGTAGTATGGACAAGGGAAACTGATGCAGAAGGATAAAAGCTTTTAGAGACAGAAGGTCTAGCTTTTGTTTCCAGTTGCTCAGGTTCTTGAATTATTTGCACAGTCTGGACTCCTGTCCGATGAGTTGGTCAGGTTTGTAGCCCAACATATGTCCTGAACTTGTAAGACTGCCACCTTGCCTCTGACAACTGCATCTTGGAAAAGCTTCCAACTGCAATATAGTAGCTGAATTCCATTTACACAGGCTGCAAAACACAAAGTGATCCTTTTACTGACAGACAGATCCTACTGTACAGTAGGTGTCCTAACAGCTGCAGCTCCAGGAGCCAGTCAGCTGAAGGCATACATCACTTACTTCTATGGAGCTATTTATGCCTCAGTAACACACTTGCCTCTTTCATGTTAATCATGTTCTTCAAACATGTCACCCTGTGTATAGTATAAATTCCTCCTTGTATAACTTTTGAAGTATATCAGTTGCTTTTGAGTGATGCATACAGTTCTGTTCACTACACTGGTATTATGCCAAAGCCATTTGATGTGTATTCTACAAAGCTAATATTAACCTCACGAGTCAACTTTGGTAGGTAGAAATTATTAATGTAATTTTAAAGTGCTCTGTGCAATGCACTGTCTGAGGGATTGCTTTTTCTATGGCTACTTAAAGAAGAGTAAGTAGCCAACTGGCTCAGATGCAGTGACATCAAAACTTTAAAAATCAAAATTACGCTGACAGTGTCAGAAATTCTTTCATAAGATGCAGTTATTTAGGCTCTAAGTTTGATCTCAGGTTCTCTTGACATCTAAAGACTATCTTGGAACAGATATATCACTCCTGGACTACAGGAACCTAAGCCAGGAATGTTATCAAAACTTTTTGTTTTGGTTTGGTTTTAGTGGGAAAGCTAGCAGTATCTCTATACAACTAATATGATCAAAATTTTTCAGCTAGGGTTTCTTTAAAACCATCCTGCTTCCCTCACATTTAGTTTAGATAGGATATAAACAGCAAAGACCAAACTCCTCCCTTGATCTGTTGGTGACTTGCCCAAGCCCACACTAATGCAACGTCTCTTGGCAATAACTAGGACATTACCACGTTAATAGAGATGCAGTAAGAACAACTGCACTTTACTGTAGAATGCAGGCAAGTCAGATCACAGAAGTTTTCACAGGACCGTTTCTAAAGGCATTGGATGTTTTCAATAATTGTACTTTTCATGTAAGATTTTTCCAGCAACCATACCTTAAGTTTCCTTGGACAATCTCTAGTGAATCGTCTCTTTTTGCTTGGTGTCAGCATTGTGATCACTTTATCTAGGCCTCTCTCAATACTTCCAAATATTTTGGCTTTTCTCTTCTTTTGGTTGCTATCCATGTGAGCTAGGTTGAGATCCAATTCCACTGAGTGACACCTGTTACATGAACAAATTAATCAGTTATGTTTCCTCAGTGTTTAGAAATTAGTTATTTCAGATACATCCCTAAAATATTACCAGACCTGACGGAATGAAGAAAACCAAAGCAAGTGCAGCGTATTATGAAAGTTTCTGTTTGAAAGTCAGTTGAGATTTAAACCCAGAGATGTATATAGAAACCACAGCACTCTGGGGAACTGGAATAAGAAGGAACTTACATTATGGAAAATAGGAATGTATTCTGAAGATAGTTGAGTTATAGTTTTAAAACTTTTCTCTGCCTTCAGTATTTTCTAGTGAATGTAGAAAGAGGTTTTAGGAAGGTTTTTACCAAGAGATGGAAATAACAGCTTGCTGTTGTAACAAGGCTTCCTAGGCAGTACATGGATTAAGGTAGTCCTGCTCTAAATCAGAAGTGTACACAAATAACAGGACATTTACCTTTTTTCGGGAAGAACCTCAACAGCTGTCAATTCATCTGTGTTTGCTGGGTTTGTGGGTTTCTTAATTGGGGAGACAGTAGTGAACTGGTTCTCTGAAAGAAAGCATCCAAGCCAAAGCAGGTATGTTTTTGCATAAAGGATTTTCTTTTCTTCAGCAAGGATTTCTCATTATTAATAATTTATTTCTAAAACCAGCCCCCTTTTCTATCTCAGGTCTATATGTTCAGAATGATAAAATATGTTTGTAATATAATAACAATACTACCCCTACTCTACAAAGAAACACTGCAACTGATTTCCCCAGGGCTCTACAAGTCAAGCCTTAGAGGGACCAATGCAGTTCAATATTAGAAATTTGGAAAGGAAGAGGATTAGAATTGCTTTCTTGCTCTGCCACTGGTCCCAGAATAAAAACCAAGCAGTTCACTGTGTCAAATAGTTCTTCACAAAGCCATTTCCCTTATATGGCGTGAGTTTATATAGCCATGTTTAATAGTACACACTACATAATAGCCTAAAAAGTTCTCTATGCACACATTGACAGAGTTCTGCAGAGCATGGTTTTGAATGTGCAGAAGCAAACACCAAGTGAAGCGGTCACCAAATGAGTTGTTACAATTAAATCCAATTCAATGTTCGAAGTTTCAGCTCTCTACAGAATCGCTCCTGTCCCCAGACAATGATGATCTCAAAATTTCCAATGAATACTTCCACTTTTCTATCTCTAAGAAAGTATTAATATTACCTCTCCTGAATCAAAGATCTTTCAATGAAACAAAGAATTAGCTTTTCATTGTTTAATCCTCAGAAATATCTCTAAAATGAGCTGGAACTGTGTTTCTGCATCTCCCATTTCAGATAGAGTACATAACTTCTGCTTTTTAAAGTTAACTTGTGAAGTTTGATTTCATGGTGTCACATACAATCTTTAGACAAAAATCAGACTCATATAAACAACTGGTTTGTGCAGTGCACTTCCTTAAATACTTTACACAGGGTGTCATTGAACAGCAGTATGTCCAAGATCCCTTATAACTTGAATCAGCCTGCAAATACTTACTATTTCTGAACAATGTTCCTTAGCATGTGGAACAGAAGAGTCTCCTACTGTAAGGAGTCCTTGGCATTTGAAGGACAGAGTTATCATTTACAGTATCAACACAAAAACATTTATCTCAATGGTGAAGGAAATGGTAACATACATACAGGATCCATCATTTTTCGTAAGAATGGGCTAGACAGGCTGAGAACAGAAATTTCTAGTAACTCAGAAAAGCTGACATAATTTAGACAGACATCTGTTGTCTATCACATAACTGTAAGGTCTGTACATTGTTAACAGAAGTATTTTCACTGCCACGCTAGACTGTGAAAATGTTACTGTGAAAATCCTGATACACTACCATGAGAAATCCAAAAGTTAGATTTCTCTTCGAAGAAGCAACAGAAGCAGACTTGACTAAAAGTATACCCTTATCTTCACTCAGGGTAATAACAAATTAAAAACAGAGTGTTGAGGAAATTGTGTTCTCAACCTTCATGGAAAAGTGGAACCAGATGCAAGTTTTAGGAACACAGTACTTGGCTCCGTGTCAGAGTGTGCCAAAAGGCATGCATGTGTGATACCGTAAGCAGCAATGACTTCTGTAATTAACATAGAAGTAACATGCCCTGATGCATGGTTAAACCTCTTGCAGCACCTTACCAGATGTACTAGAAGAACCAGGCTCATGAATATGGCAAAAAAAGTTAAATCTTCCAGAAACAGATGTGTTGAAAAGTACTGTGTTCATATTTGAATTTACAATACTTCCTAAGCAATGTGTAAGTTTTAAGTTTTCATTAGTTACATTCAAGGTACCTTGGAAGCCAGGTGTCTGAAAGGGTATGGTTTGTACTTGCGCCTCAATCCGACTCTTTGCAAAAGGAGTCTTTGGAGCAGGAAGCGCAAAGGGCATTTCATTTCTTAAAGCTGACTCTGTATCAACATTCTCTTTGTTTTCATGCTTCTTTGATGCCACTTTTCTTGTCACTGGAGTTGACAGTGTGAATTCCGTATCATCCAGTTGAGCATCATGCCTTGAATGCTACAAGAGATGTAACAAAAAAAGACATCCTTTGCTGTATTCTGATCACATTCAGGAATGTTACAGACAAGGAAATTCTAAAATTGAAGCAGGTTAAAAATACCATAAAATGCTTGCCTATTGAGCAAAATAGTTAAAAACTCTTCAATACTTCTAATTCCCTCTATAACTTGCTAATAAACATCTCAAGTAATTTCTTTATCTACTCTTCTAAATTCTTCAGCCCACACATTTAAGACTAGTCCTCAGCTGCGTTTAGATGAGCTGGTAAGAATTTTCATTTGGTTTAATTATATAATTTTAATTGCTTCATTTGATTTTTTTGTCCAATACAGACAGGTTGAACCTTCAAAGACTTGTCCAGCTCTAGCCTAGCTCAGAGATCTTGTTTACAGTACCTTATTGTTTTCCCATCAGTTTTAAAATCCTTATTGTCTCATTTACTCATTCCTTAGATGCTGTTTTTATGCAACTCAAATGTCAAAGCTCAAGTTTTCATCAAATGAATCATGACCTACAGCTAAAGGAAGCCACAACTTATGTTCAGCAATATATTTAAAACATTTCTTTACTCAGTTTGTAACTCCCCTTGGCTAGGGTTCACCAAACATTTAAATATGTAATAAGTTTTATGTACAATGAGAATAAGACTTTTGGGTGGATTAAGAATAGTGTATCTATTTATATTTTTAAAGGAACTAGTAATTAATCTGCAAACACCTGCTTTGTTCTGCGAGTATTTAGATTATATTCTTCTAACAGAGGTTCTTCAAACAGTGAAGATTCATCAGAAAATTCCATGGATCCAAATGCATGTGGCACTTCACTGCAGTCTGGCATATCTTCATGTGTCATAGGTTTTTCACACTGAAAAAAAAGATTCACTGCACAATTAAAAGTAAGATTTCATCAGAAAAGTGTCATTAAAATCTGAATCTTATTCTTTCTAAGTTCCTAATTATGGTTAACAGCTAATGGAAGTTCTCATGCCAGTGACCTAAGTTTTATAATATGACTTTAATGTTTTCATTTTGGAGTTGTCATTTGTATCAAAAGCAGATGTGAAATTATTCTCAAAGCACCATTACCAAGTCATCTTTCATGACCTCTGCCAAGAAGAGAAGCAACTCACAAAAAATACCTGCCTTTGATTTCAAGACTTGGACCACAAGCTTTTTTTACCAAAAGCCAAGTAATAAGCTGGAAGGAAGGCAAGAAAAGAATGCAGTAAAGTCTGAAAGGGGGCCAGATAAAGGCAAACACATTACATTCAAAACATATGATTACGGAATCTGCAACAGTACTTGAACTAGCATTCAGAACCCTTCATCTAATTGCTAGCCCCAAATAACATCATTTATTAAATCACAGGATTCATAACTTCAGCCAAGATTGCTAACCTTCACGGCTTCATGTCACATACAATCAGATATATATCACAGTATCCTTAGTTTCTAACACCTTTTGTTATTTCCAGGAAACTCTTCCCAAGGACTTGTTTCATACCACTTCAATGAAATTGCGTACAGTTATTTTAAATTCTCAGTCCTCAGCTGGAATGGATACCATTTTAGGAAGCTATGTTCTGATGGCAGGTAAGTTTCTCTTGGCCTATGATCAAGGATATTGCAATCATCAGATCTCTCATTACTACTGGAATAGAAACAGATCTTCCTGGTATGCTACCAGACCTGCTATTATGACTTACTAAAGAGCCCTTACCAGAGGGCTGCTAGCTACAGCCAAGAAGCTAACAGCCTGATATTGTAGCTGAAATCACATTCTATTACAATATGAATGCCTGATTAGGATTCCTTGGCTACCATGTTCCAGATGAAATTCATGCCATGGTGAATTTTTTGGAATACCCTTCTACATCAAACTGTTTGAAACAAGGTAGTATCATGTACACGCGTGTGCCACTAAATTCAGAAACTGGCTAAGTTAAAGGTTCTGTTTGCTTGTCTTCACATTAGACCAGCTCTAGCTAGAGAACTTTGCTAGTTGGGTATTTCAGCAAATTCACTGACATTCACTCACAGAATCTACATGCAGGTAAGTTAAATGTGTCCTGAGTGCTGTAGAAGGAACAATGGATTTTTGTGTTGTGTAGACATGATTTTCACAATCACCTGTGAAGGCATAATGCATATGTTAAATAGTAGCAGTAGCCGGATCAATTTACCTGGGACACCACTAGAGATGAAGTAATTTCACAGCATCAGAGCTACTGAACCTAGAGAACCTCCACATTAAAATCATCTGAGTGTAGAAGACTAACCCACCATGATCATGGAAATCACATTATGCATATTCACCAACACTTATGATGCATGATCTGTTATGCAGCACTGGTAATCTTAGAATTCTCATCTGTGTTTCAAAGCAGTTGTACAAGTGAACTGAAATGATGTATATGCAATTGAATCAGATACATAAGAAAGTACTTCTTCCGAGTGCTTGTCTCTATGCAGAGAGCAACACATTCAGATAGCTAGTTAACAACTTCACACAGGTGTCTACAGTTCAAGGGGGAATGGCTAATAGGAAGTCTGCAATTTTACTGAATGCTTTTGAGTTTGTCAAACACAGATGAGTATCACCAGCATCACATATAACTGCCTATTATATATGATATTGCAAGCAATTTCGCAACTTTAGACAAGTTCTGAAGTATCCTATTTGCACTCTGCTACCAAACCACAGGAACTGAAATAACCATACAATATATAAAACCTCTTGAGAATCCAATTAATCAGAAAAACATCAGCAACACATTTCCTTTACTCAAAATAAACAGAAACCTCTCTGGGATTGTGTTCTAAAAGGAAACAGACAAGGAAGGAATAGGTCCCACTGCTTTGACCATCAGCTCATGCAGTACCCATACAATCTCAAAGTAGGCTGCCCAGATGACATGCCAGGATGTTTCAGAAGACTTTCCCTACTAAGCCATGATAAATGCAACTAGCATGGTACAAAAATATTTAGACAAATGTGAAAGAGTGCAGTAAGAAGTTAGGCATCACAGAGGAAAATCTGGAATGATCATATAGGCCAGACAATGGGCAATTTTAGTCCATTTCTGTGAGTAGCCAAGGGGAGATTCCGTGCAGTACTCATAATGCACCATGTCCTCCCAGATAGTTATTCCAGTAATGTCAATTCATAGAAGCAACCCAGCTTGCTAAAACATGTTAATAAGGAGACTGAACTATTTAATGACCAAGCCTTTGGCAGACTGCACACATGCTCTCTTACTGATGTTTAGGGCATCAGCCTGTTTTCCTAGGCAGAGCTTTGTTACTGCAGAACAGCATTTTAATCAGCATGTTGTCCTGTTGAATTTGAAAACTTACCTTGAGGCCTGCTGATTGTGTTGTACTGGCATGCCCCGTTAGACATGGAACCCTTAAGCAAACATGCTTGCCACGAGCCTTCTTGGATTGAAGCAAGAAATATGTTGCTGACATTTGGTCATATTTCCACTGGGGGCAGGGGGGAGGAAAAAAAAAAAAAGTATTTTAATCTCTTCTTTGGAAACATTGTAAATACAAAGAAAGCTCAGCCTTCTGAAAATTTCTGCGTTTCTGCAAGTTCTTCTACCTGATGTGCATCCCTAATGTTTGATCAGCTAAGTGTAATTTCAGACTTCAGTCACATTATGTGTTTGAGATCAAGAAACAGACTATGGTTGTTGCTCTTTGCAAGTTAGTTTGTAGCACACTCACTACCATGAAAACTAATACTGGGGCCAGAATCTATCCTCTGAAGTGAATGGCAAAGCTCTTAATTCAGTTTAGCCAATATTTCAACCAGAGTCTCAAGTTTTTGGAAGTCCCCCTCCATTCTTCCCCCACGAGCAGCACCAACTTTTTGCATGATTTTCAGCAACTCTGCTTGTGTGAGGAACATGGGTACAATGCTTGAGAGGTTTGCAGCACAGTACAGTTAGTTTGAATTAGTTATAAGGGACTAGAAGTCCTCCAGTAAAGCACTATGCAAATACCACAAACCTATTTGGAAGGACTTTTCCCCATGTAGACAGATTATTCAGATTACTTCCTATAACTGAAGAACAAGTAGCATTAAATCCACAAATCCATCTTAAGTATCACACACATTTTAAAAGTCTGTTTCTACTACAGTTACATGGAAAACCTAACGGTTTTTCCAAAGCAAAGAACTATACCACTACTACCATATACAAAGAAGCAAAAAATTCAGTTTATAGGGAGAATTTTCAGATTCAGGTTAAAGCTGGACGACACATCATGTTTTAAGTCTCTTCTACAGCCTGCAATGTCATTGCTAACATCTGTACAATTCTTCTAGAAGCAGTCAGTTCAATTTTTGTCACTTATATTCAAAAGTGACTAAACATACTTTTTTAAAAACTCTGAATAGCAACTCCAAAAAAAGTATTTTATTGTCTATCTGGGTGATGCTCTGATATTTTTTCTCTTATTCTTTTATCCCCCCCTCCCCCCCTACTTATTGAACCATTTCAAAGCAAAGAGTTAAGCCAGCAAATGGCATCTGTTGTTCAACTACAAATTTCTGTAAGTCTATTTTGATTTGAGGACATTCAGAAGGATTTTACCTTGGTGGGAAATAACAGCAAGGTTTAGGAAACATCACAAGTGCAATTAAAGGAGGAAAAGGAAAAACCCACAAATTTGAACTTCAGAACTGTAGTTATATGCTACAGCTAGATTCTGGAGTTCTGCTGGGGGTCCTTAAATCTGAAAAGTATTAAAAATTTCATACTTGAGAATAAGTAAGCATTAGTCTATTAATACAGTACATTTATTTACTGTATTACTGTTTAATTACTATAAATTACAAATATAGATATATACTTCTTACCTCTGATATTAATTCCAATATACTCTCCCTGCTCTGTTTATGAAACATAGAAAGCTCTGTTACACAGTCTTCATCAATATGTCCAAGCTGCAATAACATGACAGATATTGAAGCATGAGGCTTTCAAGTTGTTTCATAATCCATATCAGACTGTGACACTGTTGTGAAACCCAGTAGGCAGAGTCAATAATCAACCATGATTTTAGACCTCGTACTTTAAATAGTTAGCACCATAGCTAAATATTGTAGGGAACGGACTGAAAAAGTCATACAACTTCAACAACTTCACAGTGTGACCCCTCCTTGGTGAGAGGTTGTGAATTCAAATAAGAAAGCCTGACAGCAGATGAGATTTTTACTAGAATGGAAGCTACACCTTCATCTCTCCATAAATATTCAAAGCTATCAGACATGCATATCTTTTCTAGAGCGAGTTAGAACTGACCCTGCAGGCACAGTAAAGCTGTTCTTTATCTAGAGAAACAGTGTCATCCAGTGGCTAATGAGCAGTATTGGCTGCAAACGTGAAGGAACTTCTCAGTACTTACTACTGACAGCAGGATTCCCCCCACCGCCCCCGCCGCACCCTCCATACTACCTTAGTCTCTCACCCAAGTAAAACAAGTGAGAGAGACAGGACAAACATACTTTCAGTGAAGTCAAATTTTTATTCAAACTAGCAATTTTCAGTGAGGACTAGATACAAGATAAACCATAATCACGTCTAACAAAACATTTGCATTTTGCACCTTAAAGTATTGACCAAGCAGCCTGGAGAATCAACTGATCATTCATATGCAGAAATACTTCACGTTTTGGTGACAAGTCAGTTATTTAGCAAATTAAGCATCAGCTGCAGAATACAATTGTTATGGTTTAACCCCAGCCAGCAACTAGGCACCATGCAGCCACTTGCTCACTCCCTGCCAAGCACCCACCCCCAGCAGGATGGGGGAGAGAATCAGATAAAAAAAGTAAAATTTGTGGGTTGAGATAAGAACGATTTAATAACTAAAGTAAAATAAAATGTTATACTAACAATAATAAAATATAATAATAATAGTAATGAAAAGGAATATAACAAAATAATAAAAAAACCCAAACAAAACCAAGAAAAGACAAGTGATGCACAATGCAATTGCTCACCACCCACTCACCAATGCCTGCACAGTGATCCGCCCCTCCTGGCCAACTACCCCCAGTTTATATACTGAGAATAACATTCTGTGGTATGGAATATGCCTTCAGCCAATTTGGGTCAGCTGTCCTGGCTGTGTCCCCTCCCAACTTCTTGTGAACCTGCTCACTGGCAGAGCATGGGAAACTGAAAAATCCTTGACTTAGGATAGCAACAACTAAAACATCAGTGCATTATCAACATTGTTCTCACACTGAATCCAAAACACAGTACCAGCTACTAGGAGGAAATTAACTCTCTTCCAGCCAGAACCACGACAATAATGAAAACACATTCGAAATTCCTCCTCAAGAGAAATCGAGAGAAAGTAATAATATTTTGACAGCAAGAACAATCAGAAAGGAACCATGGCCATCTCAAAGTTCGTCTTTGGAGAAATGTCTTCACACCCCCATACTGTGAGGACAGTAGCAAGTCAGTAAAGATTACATTAAATACTTGAGTAACCACCTGACAAGCATACTTACTGGGTATTTACTTTGCCACTGAACAGCATCAGAATAACCTTGCACGAGCCAAGGGTGACTTAATAGATCTCTAACTGTAATCCGCTTCTTTGGGTCCACCTAGTGGGCAATAAAAATCAAGCTGATACTTCCACTGTTAAGAAGAACTGAAGAAAAAACTTGTCTTCTACTCAGAATTTTAGGGTGATTAGAAGCTCAAATGGAAACCAATACTGTTTCATAGCCTCACCAAAAGGAAGGTCAAACACATGAGCTGTGATTCTGTGTTACAGAACATACAGATACAACAAATGTTCCAGGAATATTTAGCACTGGCTAGATTGCTTAGATGTAGCCCAAATGCATAGTCAGTATGTATAACCTCATTTATAAAACAGCACTTATTTATATGGCACAATTAAGGATAACCAAACACAGACTGCTTGAACTGTTTGTTTAATCATTTAAATTTTGCTTAATTATTTCTATACCAAATCATTCTTCCCAAAGAATTTTCAGCAGGAGAAAATATTAATCTTTTCTTCAAAAAAGTGTAAGAATTCAACTTGTTTAAACACTGAACTTTTTTTTTTTTTTTTTAAGTATTTCAACGTTGTAATGTTTTGACCTAGCAATAGTACCTTATAGACCTATTGAATAGAAGTAATACTTTTACCTGCAGCATTTGGTTGAGTAGTAGTGTACTGCCAGGAGAGAGCCACTTTGGAATACTGTATTTTCCTCTCTGCAGAAAAGATGGCGATTTAGAATGAACCTTGAACAGCTAGCTCTGAAGGAACTACTAAATTACTTGGATGATAGTTACATATGTATTTGATCAAAAAGGAAGAACAGCACACACATGCAAACTTAGTTTTTAGAATGACTTGAATAAATGTAATGGTAGTACTAAAATCCAACTGTATTAGTAAGGAAAATACTATGTTTGAATTATCAGCTGCAGTTTTCACCTACTTAGCTTGTGTGACATTTCCATCTCAGTCCACTTTTACAGCTAACCTGCTCCTTATCTATGGCGTTGTTTCATCATACCAACTTGATACTGAAGTTTTAGAAGTGCAAACATGCTGGAGCATCAATAACTGATATTAGCACTTTGAGATGTGAATATTCATTGAAATCACTGCCTTTCAGATACTAAAAATAAACCATCCTCAACACTTAGCTTTTTTTTTTTTAATAGGTTACATCTAGTGCTAGAGTTTTGATCCCTACTCATATTGCAGACAGGAAAAAAGTTACAGATCTAACAGGTAAGCTTCTTTCAACCAAATTATTTACTGGTGGTTTTTTTAAATCTTGATTAGAATAAATTTGAAAATGGCTTTCAGATCTGAGGTGCAACAGTAGCTAAAAACCAAACCAAACTCACCAGCAGAACAGTTGGTACCATATGCAAAATACATTTCTAAGCAGAGTATGTATTGCTCTGACATCACAGGTTAAAGAACTTAAGTTACATCTTTACAGACAGTATTAATGAACTATTTATAAATAGTTTGTAGGCTGTTTCACAATGCAGCTTTACTCTTAAACTAAGCCAAGTCAAGTAAGACAAGTAATCTGCATTTTGTTCCTAATACATTGCTACAGAACATGAGACAAGGAAAAACAGAACTAGCATCTACTTGACTGAGGGGAATGCTGGAAGGTAAATAGCTTGCAATAACTACCAGATGCTTAAAATCACACCAGAAATAAGTTTTGGGTTTGTTGCTTTTTGTTGGTTTTTTTTTTTTACAGAAGTTACACCATGTGCTTGATTCTTCATTCAAAAAGTAAAGGCATTTATTCAATTATTCCCAAATAAAGAGACACGGAACATTCCAGGAAAAGAAACATTGCATATAAGTCATACAATCCTAATTAGATTCAAGCAGCAGATTATTACATTGACTTGGAACAATAGTTCCGAGTCAAGATCACAATAAATTTCAGGATCTACAATGTGTGAAATTAAATTCCACAATAGTGCATAAGTGCCTTCATTTCAAGCAATTTTCAGTTCACAACCACATTAAATTAAAACAAATTCAGAGTGGAAATAGCAAGCCTGTATCTTAACATTATTGGTTTTCAATTGCACCCAGACTAAGTTTTACAACTTGGTCATCTCAGTTCACTTAAGTTTCACTGGCCAACATTCTGTCAGTCCAAACAACTCAGGTCCTAGCTCCTGTGCATGTTAGATAACTATAACTACGCAGAAATCATCTTTGATGATCTTAAGATCTCCATTGCACATCTAAGCTCTCTGTTCATGTTTCAACTATTGACAAGTTTAAGAGAATGAATACCTTAAATAGTGAGATCACTTACCAGGTCCTGCATCTTGGCGTAATGACCAGCATAAAGGATTTTCTGTCATTCTAGAAAACTATGCTTACAAATGGACAAGTTCTTAATGTATATACTAACATTATGGGTAGACAACACAGTTCACACCACAAGCAGAGAGGGAAAGGTAGCTCAAGTCTGATCGACAACCTAGTTGATTCCTCTTCATAGTGATTTTACTGAGAAATTGCACATACTTGCTAATGTTATCTGGACAATGCTCTTAACCATATGGTTAAGTTTTAAGTAGTCCTGTGAGGAGCAGGGAGTTGGACTCGAGGATCCTCATGGGTCCCTTCCAACTCAAAATATTCTATGATTAGGCAAGTAGGAAGGTAATATCATTTTAATGGTGACCCACCTGAGTATCAGCACTTTCACACAATCTCTTTGGATCAGTTAGCCATTGCTTCCCCCCCCCCCCCCCCTTTTTTTTTTTTTTTCTAAAAGTTCTTTACAACAACTCAAACTGAGCTTCCTACAGATCTTATGTCAAGGTACTCAAGTCACTCCAATTCTAGACTAAAAAGCCATGCCATTTGATGAACTAATTCTGCACTTTATGGAGCTCTGTTTGTTAAGCACCCCAGAAAACACTCTGTGTGTAGATCAACTGTCAGTTGCCTCCTACCAGAGTAGTCCTTGAACACTCTCAAGGAGTTTTTTGGGTTTGGGTTTTTTTTTTAGACATATCAGAATCTGGGTGAGAGAAGGAGAAAGAGGTAGAGTAGGCCAAAGCCCTTACCCAACACAGCTACTCCTCATCCCACTCACTTACTGGAAGCTTTATCAACATAAATTTTATGGCAGCTTAGAAGCAGTTGGTAGAGGTGTGTGTATGGTGAAGAACAGCAGCTGGTTAGCTGCATCAGGAGGAGTTTACAGGGAAACAGAACAAACTACTGAATTCTATTACTTATTATTTATTCAACTTTTCCTATTGATTATGATGTCTTACATTTCCTCCTCATTTTGGAGGAGGAAAGCATAATAGCAGATGCAGAACTTGCTTCTCCTAGACATGAGAATAGCTGACATTTTAAGAACACTATTTCTGGTAAATCAAATTATGTATTTGCAGTTCTATTCCATACAATACAGGGAGAAGCCAGACAAAAACTCAGACACAAAAATTCAGCCCACCAGCAAGAAAATACCTCTCCTAAAACTTAATTTCCTATCATATTATAGGACCAAGCTAGAGTACTGCAAAGGCTGATCAAAGATGGAAACAAATCCACAAAATATTCATAGGAAAAGTAGCAAAGTGTAACAAAATTCAGGGATAAGCCTTTTTGCCCTAGGCACAGCTCAACAGGTTCTGCCATCAGAAAAGCAATGGTCCTCATAATGCTTAGAAATGTCCGTTCCTAGTGTATTCTAGCACCATCAACACCTACCATTATCTTCTTGTAGATAACCATGACATTGTCATCATCAAAGGGGAGAAAGCCACACAGTAGAGCGTACAGCAGTACTCCCATGCTCCAAATATCTGCCTAAAAAATAAAAGTGAGTGGAAGTTCACAAACCTGATCTGTCTAAAACGGCTCAGAGACAAGTAATATCGTCCCCCTTTGGCAAAGCCCACATACAACTCATGAAAAGTAAGCTCCTTAATTCTGGACAGAACTCTTAAATTCCAAGTGAAAGCACACAACTTAAATTCAATTTTCAATTCACTCAAGCTAGAGCACTAGTAAAACCAATATCCTCTCCTTTGGTCACCAAATTGCTGCATTACCTTCGATCTACAAGGACCTCACTGGAAAAAATGAAATCAAACTCATCACAAGGGATTTTGTACAGTAACGTATTATGGATTACAACAGCCATCAGCACAGTTACAATCAACTCTAAAGCCCTACTGCTTCTTCTGTTTGTATAGGCATGACAAGGTCCATGTGCCTCATACTGCCTCATACTGTAATTCCCACTTAGAACATAAGAAAAAGGAGGCTTGAAAACCACTGGACTTCATGGAAAACAAAAACAAAAAAAAGAAAGCAGGAGTTAAGAGGCCAAGGACAGTGGTACAAAGACTGACTCCATCCAACAGCACAGCAATTTAGGAAGTTTGAGGGGATTGCAATTACAGCATTTTGGATGGTTTGACAAAGGCAAGTAGCAGGTCCTAACGTTCTAGACATGGAATCAAACCTGGATAAACTCCACATTTTTTCTTCTCTCAAATTTTACTATACCGTGAGGTACAAAGAGAGCAAGTTTTCATACACAAATTCCAAGCTAAAGGCAGGCCTGGTAAAGCACACAAGATACTGAGACTGCACAAAAATTTGCAACAGGAGTCAGATAATTAACAGAACAAATGGCTGCTTGAAAGAATGTGCAGTAGAAGGAAGGAGTTTAAGTTACTTTTTCATAGGGCACTAAAATATGGAGCAACAAATGGAGAGAGCGAAGGATTAGTCAGAGATGAACTAGCCAACTACATGACTTGTGGCCAAGAGCACCATGTGCTGTTCCAGGCTGTGACTGTTGAGGCTAGTCATGCAGCTTCTGAGAACTACCTAGGCAATGTTATCTAGCGGTATTCGAGAGAGAAACCAAGTGAGGATATCTGAATGTCACCACCTTTAAATACATCACAGTGGGGAAAGAAACATAACCCAGAACTGTGCTACATACCTCTGAGCCAATATAAGCTTTGCCCTGAATCAGCTCTGGTGCTGCATAAGCTGGGCTTCCACAGCATGTGTTCAGATGGTAATCAAGGCCACCCTAGAATAACACAGAATATCGATCACACAGAAGCATTGGCTTTAACACAACTTAAGTCTTCCAGTAATGACATATTGGAGGCCTCAGAGCCTTCATTTTCCTCTGCTGTGCATCTACATTCACCTCATATTTTGCTTTGGTGTAATGTATGGCTTCACTAGGCAAAAATTGTCTAAGACCATGAGTATCCTATAAACATTCAGATCCCAAGCTGCTCATTCATTCATTACCCTAGCAGTCCTTTCCGCAGCTCCTCCTCTGGTAAGAATACCTCCCTTTGTGACTGCAAAGAGAAGAGAGATGGAAGTTGGGAAGAAATGATCCAAGAGCTACTGGGCATGAGGCTAGCTGGTTATTTGTATCAATATTTAATGCAATAACTTCATGAAGACCCACTAAAAACACTAAAACCATGTTATTACTTGCCTGGGCTTTGCTCTAAGCAGATCGGAAGATGATGGTCTAATAGTCTTGACTGCCTGCAAGATGTTCTAATGTGAGCCAAGTAAAACTACCTGAGGACAAATAACTCTCTTCAGTAAGACCTTCTTCCCATTAAATTGTTTCTTAACAGCACCCACCTCGCATGCCAAGCTGCCAAACAAAAAGGGCTCCTAGAAACCAATTTTAAATTCAGGAAACAACTTAGTACAAGTACATGGAACCAGAGGATTTGTAACTGTAACTGGAATAAGCTATTTGATTCGATCCACAATCTCCACGTACATACAAATATTTTGAAAAAAGACATACACCACTAAAACTTACCAGGGAAAAACACACACCAACATTAGCTTTATATTATAGGCCCTTCTATGTGACAGCAAGTGCTATACAGACAAGATCATCTCTGCCTTAAATTATGATAAAAGATGAAGTGTAAGAGGACAAAACAGTCTAACAGTCTGGCCATAACATGCAGTTAACTGCGCTCTCACACAGTTAAGGCTCTACCAAGTAATTAGTGATTAGATGACACCACCTATGCAAATAGCTTGAATTTAGGGTCTTTGGGCAAGTCTCTGCATTGCACTCTGAAGTCAAACATGCAATTTTTATGTGTGTGCAGCAACTGATTTAGCTCTAGTCTGTGAAAGCAACTGATACTCTTACCTTTGGCTTTGCACAAAGTCCAAAGTCTATCAGCTTCAAATTACGTTCCTTGTCAATCAGCAGATTTTCCTGGTAAAAGAGAAAGTGGTAATGAATGCTTCTATAACCTAAGTATCCAAGAAACCACGTTTTCTTTCACTTTATTTCTTCTTGTCATTAGCAGCTAGAATTTACCCAAAGCTCTCCTCTGGAGATTTTGATCAGTTGCTAACGAATATATCCCATATTCCAGATGGGGAATACTAGTTGCTATCTGCTGAGAAGGGCCTGGCCGGGGGGGATAAACAGCAAGCTGAATGTGAGGCAGCAGTCTGCTCTGCCAGAAAAGGTAGCCAGCAATATCATGGGCTGTATTAAAAGGAGCACAGCTAGTAGATTGGGGAAAGTTATTCTAGTCCTCTGTTCAGCACAGCTAGAATAGTGCATCTAGTTTCTGACCCCCCAGCACAGGAAAGACATCAAACTGAAGTAAGCTCAGTGGATGGCCACCAGTCTGCTCAGGGGGCTGGAGCACTTGCTCAGTGAAGAGAGGCTAAGGGAAAGACATTTGTTCAGCCTGTAGACAAGAAAGCTTCAGTGGAGACTTCATGGCAGCCTTTTAATACCTACAAAGAGGGCTGGAAGATAGACCTAGTCTCTTCGCAGCAGTGCATGATGGGATAATGACAGACAACAGGCATCAAAAGACATTCAGACTGGAAATAAGGAAAAGCCTTTCTCCTCATAAGGACAGCGAAGACCTGAACAGATTTCCCAAAGAGATTGCACTGCTTCATCTTCAGGAGAGGTCAAAGATGTGACTGGATAAAGCCCCAAGAAACTTGGTCTGACACTGCTTTGAGCTGGAGGTTCAAGCAGAAGCCCCTAGAAGTCACTTCCCACCCAAGTTATCACATGATCCTATGAATCCATCAGCTCTCCAGCTACAAGCCAACTCCCTCCAAAAGGTACGTTCAATGCTTCATCTGGAGAGAAGTTCCTTGGAGACAAAGACTTCATGAGCCATCGCCATCTAGGAAAACACTCAGGCACTGAGTATTTTGTTTTCTCAGAGGTGTCAGCATCCCTAAAAATGCAAATTTCTAAACCCTTCAAGGGGAAATGGACTCAAGTCTTCAATTCCCTAAACCTATGCTTAAACTCTGCAATAACAGCAAAGCCACAGGATGGGTCCAGTAGCGTGCATCCCCCCCCTACAGCCTCTGACTAGCCACCACTTGTTCAAACTGCTGGTTTTCACGCCCAAAGGAAAAAGTGACACCAAACAGTTTGCGCAACAGATTGGCGCCATAAAGACTCTCTCCAGGTGCAAGCTGAAACAAAGGGGGTAACAAAAACACCTAAGCAAGGTTCAAAGTCTGCACTCCCAGCTGGAGCATGTTGTTCTGCTTCTCTTTCAGAGGAAGCTCCTTCCTCATATACAGTCACATTCAGCTCAGCTGAAGAACACAGTAGCAAGTAGAAGTAATGCTCTTTCAGAAGATGTTAGATAAAGAGCTCTAAGCACAAGAGAATGGAGAAGGCATAACTTACTCCAGTTCCTAATGGAGAAATAAAAGTGGGTGTTCGTTATTATTTATGCAAATATGACCACTATTCAGGCTTACTGGTTTGAGATCCCTGTGGGCATATCCCTGGCTGTGAACATAAGCAATTGCTGAAACAATTTGCCGAAAAAATACACGAGCTTCCTCTTCTGAAAGGCGGTCCTTAGAAATTATGTAATCAAACAGCTCTCCTCCAGGACAGTACTGCATGAAGACAGGAAAAAAAGAATACATTTAGAATACAGTAATAAAATCTAAACAATGAGAGCACTGGACAGCAACTAGAGGACACTCTTCCATTCAATTTGGGCCAAGGCCAATTGTTTGAGGTTCAACAAGGCCAAGTGCTGGGTCCTGCACTTGGGTCACAACAACCCCATGCAGCGCTACAGGCTTGGGGAGGAGTGGCTGGAAAGCTGTCTGGCAAAAAAAGACCTGGGGGTGCTGGTCGACAGCCAGCTGAATATAAGCCAGCAGTGTGCCCAGGTGGCCAAGAAGGCCAACGGCATCCTGGCTTGTGTCAGAAATGGTGTGGCCAGCAGGAGCAGGGAGGTGATTGTTCCCCTGTACTCGGCACTGGTGAGGCCACGCCTCAAGTATTGTGTTCAGTTTTGGGCCCCTCACTACAAGACAGACATTGAGCTGCTGGAGCGTGTCCAGAGAAAGGCAACGAAGCTGGTGAAGGGTCTAGACCACAAGTCTTATGAGAAGCAGCTGAGGGAACTGGGGTTGTTTAGCCTGGCTAAAAGGAGGCTGATCGCTCTCTACAACTACCTGAAAGAAGGTTGTAGTGAGGTGGGTGCTGGTCTCTTCTGCCAGGTGGCTGGAGATAGGATGAGAGGAAATGGCCTCAAGTTGCGGCAGGAGAGGTTTAGATTGGATATTAGGAAAAATTTCTTTACTGAAAGGGTTGTCAAGTGTTGGAACAGGCTGCCCAGGGAAGTGGTGGAGTCACCATCCCTGGAGGTATTGAAAAAGCACGTAGACAAGGCACTTCAGGACATGGTTTAGTGGGCATGGTTGATGGTTGGAATCAATGATCTTGAAGGTCTTTTCCAACCCAAATGATTCTATGATTCCCTCTGCTTTATCACAGTAGGATGCAAGTGCACCTAGGTGTGCCCTAGGTCAGCACTGCGGCAGACAAAAGAAGCTGAGAAGTCTGACTCTTGCCTAACCTGTTGCAACGGATACATCACCCTAATGTCACAGGCGATACAAATTGCCCAGGAGGTGACAACCACGGGGCAGTTCCAGGGTCCTGCATGTCCTGCTGATGCTGTTTTAAAATAACTGAAGCGCAAGGTAGGAATTAAAGTTATTTCATGTACTGTAAACAGCAAAGGGCAGCTTTTAGAAGAAGACAGGACATAGAACAGATTACCAGCTTTGTTTTTAAACTAAAGCGTCTTGAACACACTCATCATTGAGATAACTTTTTAAGAATTGTTTCATTTGAACTCTGTAATCATCCACCACGACAGCTAAAACCAGGAATATTCGCCATGGCAGAAACACCATTTCTTACCTCTAAGACCATGAATATTTTCTTGGATGTCTCTATCACCTGATACAACCGGCAAATATGCTGGTGACTTAAGTTCTTCATGGCATCAATTTCTATTTTAACACGAGGCAAGTCATCCTAAGAGACCACAACAGCAAGCCATGAAATTGCTGACTACTTTGACGATCTGTACATCCCAGTAAGCATCAGAGTATTGTGCAATGCAAAATTTCACAGCATGCATATGACAGCATACAGTTCAACTGCTCAAATTCAATCCAACAACAGCCCTACCATTAGCCCCCTACCATTCTGGCACATTGATTGGCAAAACCCAGAGCAGCAGATACAAAATAGCTAGTATTCTCATCAGCATTCTGTTTGAATTACTGTAATAATCTTCGACTTCCTCAATTTTACAGCCAGAGAATGTTGCCCTCTCCACAAGAGGGCACGAGATTTGTGGTCTTCTGTTAAAATTCTTTCAAGTCCACAGCATCTGTCCGTGGCCAACAGGACAAGCAGGCAGCGTTTTGACATGTTGCGCCTCACAAGAACAGCTTTTAAATACTTTTTAAGCTTTTAAAATACTTTCAAGTAACTTTCAGCTTACCCCTAAAGCAGCTTTGTCCATGATTTTTATTGCAACTTTTTCAGCAGTAAGAAGATGTCGTGCCAGTTTTACCTTTGCAAACCCACCTAGGATTTGAAAAAAAGAGACGTTTAGAGCAAAGCGCGATGACATGCTTTGTTGCCCATAATCTCACAGTTACAGTGGAGTACGTAGTGCACACAGTGTGCGGCATCTGCGTTGGAGGAAGAAGCGATCACTGCTACCAACTCCCAATTACGTTTTCAGAGATCTGCCCCCCAAAATACACACTTGAAGCGTGACCTGTAGATTCTGCAATAACAGTTAATCCACACTCGGATAAATACTGGAGTGGTTAGAGAGACCGCACGCACCTGTTTGCGTTCACAGACCAAGCCTACCTGTTCCAATTGTTTCGCGCAACTCATAGTACTTGAGAATTTCCTCATAGTCACCTGCAGACATTCTGAGAGGAACAGGGACCTGGCGATTCTTCTCAGCACCTGCAAGGAGAAAGCGGGAGCAGGCGTTCGCGCGCTTCCACTCCCAGCACGACCAGCGGAACCCGCCTGGGCCAGCTCCAGTGGCCCGGGGAGGTGCCAGTTGCTACAACCCCAGCAGCAAACTCACTAAACGAACAACTCGGGAGGCCCAGAGGCCGAAGGCACGAAACGCCAGCACCGTTCACCGGAGCTCTGCGGCGGGGGCGGCCCGGCGAGAAGCGTAGAGCGGGCACCGGCCGTCAGGGCACCGGCGAGACGCCGCTGCCGCCGAGGGGGAGCGGGCACCGGCGGAGAGCAGCACTCACCGGCTGGGCGGCCGCCGCCTGCGCGGCCGTTAGCGTTCAAATCTCTCCGCTTCCGGCCGGGGCCCCCCCCGCGGGGCCAATCAGCGCTCAGCGCTTGACCGGAGCTAGGCGGGGACGCGCCGTGCATGACGGGAGGGAGGTCGAGACGGAGGTGGGGGTGATGTGCGCGCCGCCATGGCGGGAGGGTCTCCGCTGCCATCTCGTTGCCGTCGGGGACGGCCTCGGCCGCGCCCGGCCCCGACAGAGACGGGAAGCAGCGCCCGCTTCCATCGGGAAACCTGCTCCCCGCTACAGACGGCGGGGACTGGCGTGGGCTCCGCGCCGCCGGGTCTGCTGCCACGCACAAGATGGCCGCCCGGCCCGCCGCCCCGGCGAGACTACGCCTCCCAGCATGCTCCGCGGCCCGGCCTTCCGTGACGGGAGGGCCCTTCCGCCGCCAGGCTCGGACCGGACCCCGGCCGCGCTGCAGGCCCCGCTCCGCCTCGGAGCAGCCCGGGGCAGGTGAAGGAAGGGAACAGAAAAGCGGGGTTTGCTCTCTTCAGGCGGGGGCTGACGGTCTGCCTTTGCTGCGGCCGGCCGTTCCCCTGCCAGGCCGTTCGCCTCACAGCATACCAGAGGCCTCGGCCTACAGCCACAGGCCAAACCAGGAAAACGGGGCGGGGGGGGTGAACGTCTTATTTCTGTAAACTGTCTCTCCTTTGGAATCCTCCCAGGCAGATTAAACCTTCCCTGAATGAAGACCCTGTCCTGGTTTCAGCTGGGGTAGAGTTAATTGTCTTCCTAGTAGCTGGTACAGTGCTAAGTTTTTGAGCTAGGTATGAGAAGAATGTTGATAACACACTGATCTCTCCACTCGTTGGTAAGTAATGTTTAGACTAAAGTCAGGGATTTTTCAGCTTCTGATGCTCAGCCAGCAAGAAGGCTGGAGGGGCACAAGAAGTTGGGAGGGGACACAGCCAGGACAGCTGAGCCAAACTGGCCAAAGGGATGTTCCAGACCATGTGATGTCATGCCCAGTATATAAACTGGGGGGAGTGGGGGGGGAGGGATCACTGCTTGGGGACTAACTGGGTGTCTATTAAGCAGGTGGTGAGCAATTGCATTGTGCATCACTTTTATATTCCAGTCCTTTTAGGATTACTGTTGTCATTTTATTAGTATTATCATTATTGTTTCTTATTTTCTGTTCTATTAAACTGTTCTTAACCCACGAATTTTACTTTTTTTTCCAATTCTCTCCCCCATCTCACTGCGGGGGGGGAAGTGAGTTTGCTGCTGTGTGGTCCTTAGTTGCTGGCTGGGGTTAAACCACGACAGACCCTTATTTTTTGAGAGTAAGGTTTGATTCTCTCCTGAATAAAAAAGAGGAAGAAGGATGTTTTGGGGAGAGAGAATGGAGCCCTTCCTTGCGGGCAAGACAAGTGGTGTCTCTTCTAGATGGGGTGTCACCTTCTGTTCTTCATCAGTCAATTAACAGTTCCTTGCATCCCCATTAATACAGTCACCCACCTCAAAAACCATTGATTAATTTCACTCCAGTATTTTCAGTCATTTCCTACATGGCTATCACAGGTGGAAGATGCTGAATGGGAGAGGTGAGTATGGCTCATTACCAGTGTTGACTGACAGAAGGCAGAAGACCTTGGTGCTGAGGGTTAACCCCGGCAGGCTGCGAAGCTCCACGCAACAGCTGGCTTGGATTGGGGGAAGAGGAAAGGGAGGGTAAAAGCGAGCAGCCTGGTGACTCAGGATGAAAACAGTTTCACAAGCAAAGGAGAAGTGGAAGAAAGAAAGAAAAGAAAGCAAGTAATGCAAAGGCAAGAGGCGAACACCTACCACCACCCGTGGGGTAGACCTGTGCCCAACCACTTGCCAAGCAAAAGCTGGCTAACCTCCCGAAAACCCCTCCCCTCCCTTTTGACTGCTGAGGGTGGTATGATGTGGCATGGAATATCTCTTTGGGTAGCTGGGGTCGTCTGCCTGGTTGTGTGCACTGCTCAGCAGCAGCCAAACCATCAGTGCGTTGTCAGCACTGTTACGGTCACAAGTCTAAACCACAGCGACACAGGAGGTGCTGCAAAGAAAATGACCTCTGCGGGAGCATAATAATGGACTCAACGACAGATCAATATGATCATAGTTGAAGACCCTTTACTAGAGCATCAGACATCATTTTTATACATTGGTTACATCCGTACATGTGTTTAGCTAT